CATCCAGGTACTGGCTGGGCTGCTAGCTTCAGTAGGCAACCATGGCAGAATTGCAGAGAGCTAGCTGCCAGCCATAGTATTTGTTTTTGCTACTAGGGAAGTCAATGGTTTCAGCTTTCTTTATTATGTTTGTCTTCAACAGAATAAAAAGTTTAAACCAGTTAGAATCAAGTGAAGGGAGAGTAAGTGATGACAGAACTCATTTTCTCAATGGCATCACTGCAAAAAGCACAACTTGGAACCTTTATTTTTAGAAGCGCATTAAGAGTGCCAGCTGGTGTTTAGTCCCTCTTCGGTCCAGAGTCTGTGCCTCTCTAAAGCCAAGAAGATATCTACTCAACAAATTCATCTAATCTATTATAGAGAAGCACTCGTAAATGGTAAATATTTGGATAACAGAGAGCACGGCAAGCTTAAACACAAGCATTACAAAGATCCAGAGAACTTTATGTAATCACACAACATTAAGCTTTTTGTCTTCGCGACAAGCTGTTGTTGACATTAGTATAATTTATACAGACTATATGAAAACTGTGGGCAGGAATGGAGTGTCTGCTGAAAGAGGGAACATTTGATGCAGAGGCTGTGCTCGAGAGATAACTCTAGGGTCACGGGTTCATTCTCTGAGTAATGTAGGTTTGGTGTGATGTCAGAGAGTTTCCTTGCTGTGTGCTTTGGCTCCAATATTCTCTGTGACCGCAGAGTTTAGGAGATGTGAGCACATACACACACACACTGATGCACCCCTTCAGGTGGCTACATATTTGTATTGCTCCAAACCCAAACCTTGATAAATTGCTATCGCGTCCATGTATGAAAACGTCTGCTGTTTGTTTTGGAAAACAAATTCGGCGCTCCTCCTTTCCCAAATACATTTCCCACTATGGAGCTTTTGACAGACTCCGGGGAGAGAGACGCAGTGAGTGTCCCACAATGTTTTATTTAGTTAGTTAGCTTTATTGGTCTCCGTAAGGAAATTTCATACACTCACAGAGACTTCTGACATTTCTGGCATATATATAAATAAATCATTTAAAAACATGGTACCCCTACTTTAAATAAATATCCAGTCTACTGGCCATCAACTGCTACTTATAGAGGAGGAATTAAAAAACTTAATTACTTGGGGTAAAAATGATAATATTTTCCCTATTTCTTACACACCTGAAACTATTGACTACCTTATGGTAACAATTGAAAGGTGTTTGATAAAGGATGTCTCTAATCATTGACAATCCTAATAGCCTTATTTATTACTCTTTCTTTGTATATACTATCAATGATCCTTAGTTTTGTTATTACCACCTTCCCCAGTCACCTCTTCTACACCTCAAAAGCATTTCCCTACTAACAGATCACACAAAATGTTGCAACACTTTTAATAAAAGCACTATAAAAGATGATCAACAACGTGCTGTCAACATTAAAAGATAGTTACAAGAAGTACATCCTCTGTTGAAGCTTATTCTAATGCAGTCAGTTCATACATCCTTAAGTTTATTGCCCAACATCGCACCCAAATATTTATAATTTGTTACCAACTGAATTTGCTCCCTATTAATTAATGAGTACTTCCTCCTCTTCATTTAAAAGGCTCACCAAAGCAGTACCATCTGCATACATTACAATATATCTGTTGAACTTATACAATAATTGGTATATAAAATAAATAATAATTGAGATAAAACACAACCCTGGGGAGCTCCAACTGAACTATGTGAAATAAACCCTCCCATTTTAACCTTTAATTCAGAAATACATCAATAATAGGTCTAAAAGAAGGCTGGATGATTCAGAAAGAAAGATGCGATGTTAGGTTTGACTTTGTTTGGAACTTTAATCATCTATTAACATTTCCGTTCCGCGAAAACTCATTTATTCGCATCACAAATGATCAGCGTGACTGTAATCTTTTCAAAATGCTGAGGATAATGCAATTAGTTTGATTCTGTTTTTTCAATCTGCCCTTAAAATATACATTATAAAATCTAACTTTGCATAATGTTGTAAAGAAAATAATTTCCCCATTGTTGGTCTGTGCCTGCAAAACATGAAGATCCATTAGAATCGCATAATTGTGGTTAACCACGTCATTATTCACAGGATAAAATTCATCTGAACTCCTACAGGGGAAAAAAGCTCAAATGGAGCGCAGAGGCTCTCTCACAATAGGGAAATTTGCAATTGACTAAATGCGAAAAGGTTAAATGCCAAGTTCCACTTGTAAAAACGTAGAAAAAAACCTAACTTTTTTCATTTTTGTTTTGTTTTGTTTTATTCAACTAGCTTAGAGGGGATCTGGCATGAATCAGGCTGTATTCACTATTAACCCAGCTTTTAAAATGCACATATTGTTACTCTGAAAACAACCGGGAAGACCATTAACAGAGCCCGTAATATGCTAATTAAGAACAGAGCCATTTCATCCAGTGCAACAGCACAGAGGCATTGTGGGTAATTAACTATCTGCACAGACACACATAGAACATATCAAAACTTTTAAATAAACATTGTTTTCCTTTCTTTGTTTACTTAAGCATGATAAAATATCGGCACGGAGAGAATAGGTCAGTCTGAACTGTACTTTAACCCATGCATTGGTCATATGTTTAGATCCAGCCGGGGACTAAATAGAGCAAGGCTTGGCTTAGCAAGGCTGATAAAACGCACCCAATCTAAGTGAACTCTCAGTAACCTGCTGAGGCAATCCAGGGAGATGCTAGCTAGGAGCTCAGCTGCTTTGGTCTGGTATCTGCAGGCTCCAGACTTCTGAAGTCAGAAAGCAATGGGGCATCTTTCAGCTGCTGACAGCACATTTTAAATACTGAGTCGTTATTGTTCAATCGTATTGACCTGCTCTGTAAGGATGCATACCTGACCAATGGATCATATCAACTCAAAGAATGTGAAAAGGTGTCTTTCTCTGGATTATTGAAGTAACATATCCTGTATATAATTAGTGTTCATTTAATTTAGATCCCAGTTCTTGCTTATGTTGTTGTCAATGCTATTTTTGCATGCATTGTATATTTACAGTTAAAGTCAGAATTATTAACCCCTTTCATTTTTTTTCTTTTTTAAATATTTCCCAAATTATGTTTAACAAAGCAAGGAAATTTTCACAGGTTGTCTGATAATATTTTTGCTTCTGGAGAAAGTCTTAGTTGTTTTATTTCGACATGAATTAAAGCTGTTTTTTTTTTATTTTTTTTACCATTTTAAGGTCAATATTATTAGCCCCAATAAGCTATATTTTTTTCAATAGTTAACAGAACAAACCATCATTATACAATAACTTGCCTAATTACCCTAACCTGCCTAGTTAGCCTAATTAACCTAGTTAAGCCTCTAAATGTCACTTTAAGCTGTATAGAAGTGACTTGAAAAATATCTAGTAAAAAATTATTTACTGTCATCATGGCAAAGACAAAATAAATCATTGATTAGTATGAGTTATTAAAACTATTATGTTTAGAAATGTGTTGAAAAAAATCTTCTCTTCATGCAAAAATTGGGGAAAAAATAAACAGGGGGGCTAACAATTCTGACTTCATATGTAAATTATTTTTTTCTTCGGTGGATTGAATTATACATACTTTATTGAAATCTTCCTTGAAATGATGTTTCTTTATAATTCCACCAATGTAATTCAGTTAGGAAAAAATTAAACAAAGCTTTGTATTCACTTTGTCATTATGTTTAAAAAAATGTAAGGAAATGCTTTATTTAAATAAAATTTTGTAACCAAATATGTAGAATGAGGGAATGCTGTGAGACAGCAGGCTGATATAGGAAGTAATGACAAACACGCAGGGATGCCTTTGAAATATATTCAATTGTGGGGAGCTGGATACCATTTTTGTACTGCATTTTTGTTGAAAACCAAAAGCAACACAATAGAAGTGTAAAGAAATACAAATACTTTTGAGAAAAGAAACATGAGAAAATGGATATTCAACCCCAAACCCCACTGTCTTTATTCATAATGAATACAGGTTATGTGGCCTCAATTAGCCAGTCGCACTCCTCCTCCGTCTGTCTCGAAACCAACCCTTTTATAATGTATGTATGTATGTATGTGCATATATATATATATATATATATATATATATATATATATATATATATATATATATATATATATATATATATATATAATGCATATACAATCTTTTGTTTTTATGTGTAATCGTATTTTTGAGTTATAATTTCAATAATTATAAATATGTAATTGTATTTTTGTACATACACAAATTTTTATTGTGTAAAATAAAAGTCAGTGATAAAATACATTTCTGGCCAATATCAGTTTTTAAAAGATTATTATATCTGTACCATATTGCAGTGTGTTCTACAATTGATCTAATTTTAATTCAAGCTGTCTATGTAATTTAAGTTGTGATATAAAAAGCAATAAAATAATTTTGACAAGCATGTTTGATTTGGAGCTGAATTCAGCCTCTTCTGTTTTGAGCAGATGTTTGGAGAGAGTGTATTTATTTCAACCCACCAACAGCTCCTAAAACAACTGCGGAAAATAAGGAAGCCAATATGATTCTAGCTGTGCCGTTTCTCCGCTCAGATGCATGCAGACTATCGCACAAGTGTCTTCCGCCTATTTTTCCATTCATTCCTGTACAAAAGCAAACAGGGGCGACTCGCTTTAACTGTCCTGCTCTTCACCAAAAGCTCTTTTCCTCTCTCTCTTTCTCTCTCTCTCTCTCTCTCGCTCGCTCGCTCACTCACTCACTCTCTCTCTCTCGTTCAAGCCCTTTTCCCCCTCCAGTACTTTTTCCTGCCCCTCTCTATTTATGAAAACGTCACTTCAAGTCCCTCCCTGTTTGAATCTCATTAGATTTTTTTTCTTGTGTGTTTCTCCCTGTCAATAATCCCGAATCCAGACTCTCTCTATTTCCATCCCTCTCTATCTGTCAATCAGCGCCGCCTTTGAACTGAAAACCACTCCGACCAACTTCAACTCCCTCAATCCGAGCGCCTCAGCTCCGTCTCCGGCTTCTGTTTCTGCCAAGATTGCCCTCTTCTTTTTGAGTTTTGAACACTCACCCAGCCAAACGCCACTGCGAGTCCCTAAACTTAAAACTCGGGATTCGGGGATCACACCAAGATCAAGGGTTTAAAAACTTTTGGGTGTTTTTGGCCCCCCGCAAAATTAGCGCTCCTCGGGAAAAATGCCGCAGCTGAACGGCGGTGGAGGGGACGATCTGGGTGCGAACGATGAAATGATTTCCTTCAAAGACGAAGGCGAGCAGGAGGAAAAGATTTCGGAGAACTCCTCAGCAGAAAGGGATTTAGCAGATGTCAAGTCTTCTCTCGTAAACGAGTCGGAAACGAATCAAAACAGCTCTTCGGATTCCGAGGTAAGTGACAAATAAGCGCGAATCCGCGACTTGTCCACAAGTTTACATGCACTTTTTCCTGCTTAAACACGCTGCTAACTAGCTAACGTAACGATCTCCTCGCTGTGATTATTCAATGCATTCCCTGTGTTTCGTTGCATTTCAAGGCGGAAAGACGGCCTCCGCCTAGATCTGAAAGTTTCAGAGACAAAACAAGAGAAAGTTTAGAGGAGGGTGAGTGCTTCTTTTCTCTAAATCTCCTTCTTTTTGTTTTTGCACAGGACAACAACACGGTGCATCGGTTTCACTTTGCTTCTGCACATACGTAACTTACAAAGTTTTTTGGGAATGTAACTTAAACTAAAAGTTTTCCTCTTTTCCCCCCCGCCATGTTAGCTGCAAAAAGGCAAGATGGAGGGCTGTTCAAGAGCCCACCGTACCCGGGCTATCCATTTATAATGATTCCCGACCTCACGAGCCCGTACCTCCCGAACGGATCGCTTTCTCCGACCGCGCGCACAGTAAGTGTTTTTCACGTCTTTCTGCAGCCACATGCACGTAGCTAAAGCACCACGTCCATGTTTAGGGATTGCTTTGGTGGGCTGGTGAACTTCTGCCACACTTCACAGTCTGCACTACTGTACAGTGGCACGCCGTTCGCGCGGACACACTGGCCGAGCGCTGCCAGCCCGCGAGCGAGCGCGTGAACAGAGCCGCGCGAGCGGCGAGTGCAGTGGGACGCGCAATGTGCTTTCATGACGTGCACAAAAACACAGACACTGGAACTTTAATCTCCGCTCTTATTATTTCTTTTCGTTTTCCCTGACACTCTCTGGCAGGTTGCGGTTGTTTAAGAACATTTTTACGGCTGCTTCTTATTTTTATCGTAATTGTTTATGTGCTTGAATAACTGCTAGACGTTATATCGTTTGCTTTAGACTAGACGCCTAATTTTACAGTAGCGCAGATTACCTAATTTATTTAACTAAAATCTTAATGTACATTTGAATTTATAATAACATTGTTATTACTATTATTAATGTTTTTGTCGTTATGATTTGTGCACTTGCAAAAAATAACATTCTTTTTATATCAAACCCTCAAAATAGAAAGCTTGAATTAATTTATAATGTAAGTATATTTTAAGTAAAATCAAAGTGGTGCCTTGCTTATTACTGCCTGTGCCTTTTTCTGCTACTTAAATTGAATTCCTTATGAACAAAATCGAGGTAGAAGTGACAGAAATTATTGTGACAGTTTAAATGGATGGAAACAAAGATGCTCTTATGACATGGCGATGAAAACATTTTTACAGTGTGCCACATAAAACGTCATTTATCTGAGCTAATTTATGAGTCATTTATCCCAGCTTAGCATAATGTCGCTGGTGTTATTTAAAGAATGCAATGCACATAAACATTATTGCCAAAGAGCATCATGGGAAATGTTTATGGTAATTAGTGGAAGTCATTCAATCAATTTGTGATCGTCAGAATGAAAGCACATTATTGCTCATACCACACTTGAATCCAGTGTAGTAAAATATTACTCAGTAGCGTCAGAAATATTTTAAAATGAACAATTATTTTGAGTTATATATTTGCATTTGTTTTCATGGCATGGACTTTGTGTTTAGTGCATGCAGCATGTGATAATTTCATTTGAATAATGTTTATATACAAATGTAAATACAAAAGATGTTGTTTAGATTGGGTTTGGCTTTGCATAGTTATGCATATTTGTCCAGCACTTCTCTTGGCATCAGAATGAATTAGAGTTGATTGATTTAGTCATTTCCTTATTCAAAAAGACTAGTTTATGTGTTGTAAAAATGCTGTTTATGGGGAAATAATTTTTCAAGGATCAGGAAAATTGTACTGCTATTCCTGATTTCCCTAATCAGCTCCAGGCTTAATCTGAAACGTAAAGATGCGCTTTATGACAGTGACGTGATGTGCAACCTGAAGTGAGTTGAAATATCCTGCTGTGAAATTGTGGATTTAACTTCAGGTGTTTCATTTTATTACACTGTTTTTTAATATCAGAGACATTTTTTTGGTTTGTTGTTGAAACATCTGACTGTCGTGGAAATTGCACGCTTCCCAAAACATGCTGAATGTTTTTTTCACCTGCTGATCATTTCTGTGCTGATGCTCAACGTTTAAATATAAGTGCACAGAATAATAATGAACGCTTTAGTATAGCAAGTGCAAGGAAAATGATGGAAGGATTTGACACACAGCGTGTTTTGCTCGGTTGTGAATAATCTCAGAGATGCTTTTAATATGAGAGTTCTTCTACCTGCCGAGATGGAGCCTGCTCTAAATCGTTGGCTTATTCATTTAAGGCTACCAAGAATATAGAGATCTCCCCTGGAAGTAGGATCATTGTTTGATTTATCCTCCCCTATATGTGGGAGTCAACCCAGGACTCTTCTGGCCCTCTAGCCTAAATATTCTACCCGTAGATATAGTGAATTTCTTTATAGTTGTGTGTTGTAATGTTTGATCTCTACTGTAACCGGGCCTACAGATCTCAGTCTTTGACATTGCGCTGTAGCCCTTCACCCCGTTTTTTTTTTTTTTTTTTGTGCCATGAGGTCTGCTACCTATGAGCTGCCTGGGCGTCCGACCCACACCGCTTTGAAGTTGAAAGCCGTTGTATTCATAAACGCATTACTTAAGTAGAGGATAAATAATTCACCTGAGCATCGATTAGCTGTCGCTTCGTTTAACGAACACAGTGGGCTTGTTGGGTTTAGCTGCCGACAACGTGGCTTTTAGCAATTTTTGAGCATTTTTAAAAAATAATCTAAATTATATTTAATAAAAGAAGATGATTTAGTTCAGTTTTATTTTATCTCAAACATTTTAAATTAATTTATAAACCATTATTTAAGCTGTAAAGGAAGAGTGTATGCCGAATGCCAGTATTGCTATTAGACAATTGACAATTTTTTTTAGGACAAAATAAAATTCACGTAAGCCTTGTGTCAGCTGAATTTCCCTGACGCTCCGCTCTTGCAATAGTGATGAAATGTTTTTCCTTAACTGTGTTTGAGAGTGGTTTTAATTCGCCTGACCCCTGAGAGCTATAATAACGGTGAGTTTGTATTTCCAACCACTCAATCGGAAAAGCTTTACGATCATTTGGTAGCATTTAGCAATTTGACATGACGTTCTTCCGACAATGCCTGTGCACTCTTCTCTCCCCCCTCACTAAGACTGCAGACAATAGCCACTCTTCCCCCTTTTCATCGAGAGCAGTTTGCGTGCCGAACACACTCAGTGTGTGTGTGTGTGTTGTGGTTGGAAAGGTGCTGGGTTAACTGGGTGGCTGTAGGCTAAAATCACACCTCAACAGGTCTGTGTGGAGGGGAAAGCGAGGTAGAGCAGAGGTCTGGCCGGCTGAGTTCTGGCAGGGGGCTTTATGCCCGTAAATCCACTGGGTTTATTTACTGCCTCCCTGACTTATGAATGTTAAGATATTTGACGCCACCCCTGGCCCCATAATTCCTTAGGCCTGCAGACTTTTGGCAGAGGTTTCAGGTTTCAACGTATAATTATGCGTAGTTTAAAAAAGGAACAAATATAAAAATAAAAAAAAACTTGCAACACCCAAACGCACTCTCTGAAATTAGGAGCAAAGAAAAAGAAATGCAAAGCAGAAAAACATGCACTTTAATATCAAATATTTACAAATGAATTAATATTTGAACTGTAGATGCCTTCGTTCCTCATGCATGTACATATTTTAAATAAGCGTGACTGAATCTTTTTAAGCTGAGACGTCAGCAACAAAGCTTTATCGTATGGATTATGCGTGTTGAATAGACTGTCGTGTGAGGTGCAGGAGATAGTTTAATACGGATTTACAGGGATAGACTCGTACCTTATCAAATTGGCTTTACATGTTAATGGCCCCTAATTGCTATCCGCAGGGGGTTCACTGAGCTACGCGCTCGCGTTTTGTGCCGCTCACCGCAAAATACACTCCCAGTTTATTTAGAAGGTTGCCATCCTTTTGTTTTGCAAATCACTTTTGTTTACAAAGAATGGCAGAAGCAAGACTCCCTCTTTCTCTCCCTCTTTCTTTCTCCTCCTTTTCCCCTTTTTTCTCCTCCTTCCATCCAACACTGCAACAAAAAAAAAAAACCCAAACGGTTTCTGTTTGCGAAGGCTTGATAAACACCCATAAAAAAGTGCAATCTGTTTTGGATTTGTGCAAGTTAAGTTGGGGAGCAAAGTTTGGCACCATTAAACTGAAAGCGGGGCCTGTGAGACATTAGCGGCGCACAGCACATTCTCAGGGCTTAATTAGTCCAAACTGTAATTGTTCATGGTCTGCCAATAGGAGTAATGCTCAGGAAGAGTGGAGTTGCGCTAAATCGGCCCATGGTTTTTAAAACAATAAATCACTCGCATATTTGTGTCGTGATTCAGATAGAGTCCCGACCTCTCCCATCTCGACATGTGGTAAATTGTAAAGTCAATGAATCGCAGATGTGGGTGGGGGGGAGATCGGAGGGGGTGGGCCGTGAAAGAGTACAGTACGGTTTTGTTAGTGCTTGGTAAATGAATGGAAAAGATTTGTGCTGTAAATATTTACTGAGATGTGTTTTTTTTTCTTGACTTGCTGTGCTCAATTGTCTTACGTTGATGATTTTGGCAGGCTGCTCTCTATGATCGTGTGTGAATGTAACCTGGAGTTTTTTTCCCCTATCCTGATTGTTCCTTTCTCCCTGTGTCACGCTGGTGTTTTTCAAGGCAGCGTTGTGTATACACAATGTTCTGCACTAGTTCAATAGTTAATGAAGGTTTCTTGTTCGGACGTGGACTGTTAAGAATTTCGTAATCGCGGTGCAATAAATACATTTTTTTTTTTAAATAAAATTTTAGCGAATGCCTTAAATTGTCAATTGTATATCGGTCAGTTCCTTAATATATCTCTTTTGCATTTGTTTTTAAAGCTGCAAACGCAATGGAGTAACTGATAAATGGGGAACTCAGATAAATGCCGTTGTAAATTGTGTGTCTGCATTGGCTTAGCAGCTGTGTGTTGTTGACCCCACCCCTCACCTCTCTCTCCTCTTCGCCATTTATTTCCATACACAAAGATCAACACAAAGATCGTACTGTACGTCTGGAATGCAACTTTTGTCATCTGTTAAATATAGTCCTGCTGCTGGCCTACACGTTGAGGGGCTCCTCAAACATGGAAATGAAATTACTCTTTCTCTCTGTGTGCACATGCACCGTGCGCAGGCCTGTGCAGCTGTATGATAGCTGCGTGTGAATTCTTAAATGACAGGCAGATTTTACTGGGGTGTGTGGTGATATGGGCGAGATTTCAAATGTGTAAATACATTTGTACATTTTAAATGAGACAAGAGATGTGACTTTTAACATGAACATATTGCTTATTTTAACATATAAGAGCTTTTCTTATTATTTTTAGGAGATTTTTATTAATTAATTGATTTATTGTTTGACCTACACTACCGGTCAAAAGTTTAAGGTCA